GGATCCACGACTATTCAAAACAAACCATTAAAGATAATTCAACACAACGTCCTTGCCTGGACTCTGGCGAGGAAAACAGAACTTACTAACATATACAGCACAATAGACCCATACATCATCCTTATCAATGCACGCGGGCGAAAAGACAACGAAAAAAGAAAAATATTTAATTATCACGTCTACCAAAAAAATATCTACGAAGAGTTACATGACGGGACAGCAATAGCAATAAATCGAACAATTCAACACAAAATAATTGACAACTTCCAAGGCAACTTCTTGGCATTAAAAATAAACACCACCAAAGGACCAACAATAATAGGAACATCATACCTACCATTCAGAAGAACAATATTCCCGACAGGCGACCTCCTAAAACTTACCAGGCGAAACAGCCCGGCATACTTCCCAGGCGACCTGAACTCTCGACACCCAACCCTTGGACATCACAACAGAAACCCTGCTGGAGTAGTACTGCACAACCTAATTGAGCAAGGCAGCATTACACACCTAGGCCCAGACTTTCAAACATTCATAACACAGGGAAATTCTGGGAATCCGGACATAATTCTGACAAACAGACACCATCATTTTCACATACACATAAAACCTGGACCCGCCAGCACCAGTGACCACATACCCATAATAGCAAATATTTCCACATCTCCAATACAAATTCCCTCTACACCAAGATATTCATTTAATAGAGCAAACTGGGAAAGTTTCAAAACAGCTCTCAACACCGACGAAACACTAACCTGGTATTCAAAAATCACAATAGCCATGAAAAACAACATCCCAAAAACAACATATCGCACACTACCACATGCACAACTAACACACGAAGAAAAAATCATCCAAACCAGGTTCACCAACCTGCATGAATTTATAAAAACATATGGCTGAAGCCCACACATCACTGCATTATATAGAAACCTTAAAGAAGAACTACTGGAGATATGCAAAGTAAAACACGACGAGAAATGGAACCAGCTAATAACCAACACACAGGCAGACTACAGAAACCCAAAAGCCTTTTGGACTAAAATAAAAAAAAATCTCATGGGAACCAACTCAGAGGAGACCAGCTACCTTATAGACAACAATGGCAAGAAGATTACAAAACCTAAACTCAAGGAACCAATATTCAGAACATTCTGGAGCAGCATCTACCAAATCACGGATGAGGACAACCGAAACTTCTGCAGAGAAACAGAACACGTGGTTGAAACACACTTGAACCAAAACACAGACAAATGGCAACAATCCAGGACAATCAACCTCAACACGTTAGATAATAACGATCCACTAATTGCTCCAGTAACTACACATGACATCACAAAAACAATTGCCAGCTTCAAGAATAAATCGCCAAGAATAAGTCAAATAAACAAAACTGTGTTGCAAAACATACCACCACCAATGATCTAACAGCTTGCAGACATCTTCAATACATCAATAGCAAGCGGATTCTTCCCATCCAAATTTAAAAAGGCAAAATTAAGACTCATTCCAAAGCAAGGAAAGAACCCAACACAGGCAGAAAACTGCGTACCCATTTCACTCCTCGAAACACCTGGCAAAATCCTTGAAAAAGTAATAAATCAGAGATTAAGAAACCACCTAGAGTATGAAGACAAATACAACCATAGACAACACGGCTTCAGGAAAAACCGAGGCACCTACACTGTAATGGCCCTAATATATGAAGCCATCGCAAATGCAGCCAGCAACAGAAACCAATGCAACATAGTTTTCAGAGATGTCAGCAAAGCCTTCGACAAAGTATGGCATGAAGGGCTCAAATACAAGATCACTCAACTCAACATGCCACCCAACTTCACGGCTCTCCTTTGCAATTTCCTTGACAACAGACAAGGCAAACTCACCATCGACAACTACACAGGTCAAAACTTCACCCTCTACAGTGGAGTACCCCAAGGCAGCAACATATCACCAACACTATACACCATATATACAGCGGACATGCCTAAACCAAGAAACTCAGAGTACATTGCATACGCAGACGACGTAACACAAATTATACAATACCCAGGGAAATCAAAACAAATGATGGCAATCAGAACTAGCCGAAAAATAGAAACCATAAACAATTACGAAAGGAAATGGAAAATTAAAACTAACATACAAAAACTGAAGATAATTCACATAGCTAAAACTAGACCATACCCAATCATAGTCAACAATCAAAACATTCCATACGCAGAAATTGGGAAAATCCTCGGCCTCAAAATCACAAGGAACGGCATACTACCACACATCACAGAAAGAATTGCAAAAGCCAGGGTCCAATTAACTAAACTCAGAAGATTCCGAAAATTAAACACCAATATACAACTACACCTTTACAAAGCACTAGTCAGACCACACTTGGAATATCCCCCAATTCCACTTAAAACTATATCAAAATCAAATAAACTCAAAATACAAGCAATCCAAAACATAGCCCTCAGAAGAGCAGCAAAACTCACACCACCATATACAAAAAATTCCAGAAAGCTACACACAGAACATAACCTAACCACAATCAACATCAGAACACATAATCAAGCATTAGCAATATGGGAAAGACTACAAGAACTCGAAGACCCCATATTCCAACAACTAATGCAAGAAGACAATACCAGAACACACAACTGGTGGCCAAAGAGCATAACATTTGACACCACAGAACCAGAACCAATATACACGAAATAAAAACGAAGAATACTTAAAGGACACGGAGGGCCCCCCTCCCCAAACACCACAATCTACCTTAGCTTAGATTAGCTTGGCTTCCCTTCCCTTGCTGTAGTGGACATGAACTGCTGACATGGCAGATTTAACCTCGTCCTCGCAAGGTGGACAGCCCACGTGCTATCAATCTCCCTCTTTATTTCCCACTTCCCAACCTTTACCTTCCTCCTACACCGTCTTCTATCTTCCTGAGCCAATAGGCTCTCTTCTCTCCATCACATCGGATCGGAACGTCCTTCTACCTACAGCCACGCAGCACGCAACACCTCCTCTGAGCAAGCTCCTCACCAACCAGCTCTCTACTCCACGCTTGTAACCACGCTGCTAACCACGCTGCAACTTCCCAGCACCAAGCTGCATTGTACATCTAATACAATATATATACAGAGAGTGCATTGTGAGTTTCCTTTCTCCAACCCATCCTGAGTGCGAACCAACATCACGAAACCCCACAACGCTACACTTCTTTTTCATATTCATTTAAAGAAGGAAACACTGAGTGTACCTATAGAGCACATTCCCAATTCAATATACGGGTAAAAATACATTAACTTACCATCAGAAGATGAACAAGTTACTTTCCCATTCGACCACAGTTCGAGTGGTTGACTGGCTGAGGAGAAACACGTGTGATTCAGGGTTGGGGTTGGGGGGGGGGTTGGCGGTTACTGCATTATATTTATGAAATAATACGCAAGTAAAAATTCGCCACCTTATCAGCAGTATTTAACAATATCACCAAATCATTCAACCAATGAGTATTTTATGTACCTGAGAATCCAGCAAATACTTGTTTTTAGTAGTAACATATAAATATATGCTGGCAACATCTCAGATTCGGGAATGAACCTGTATGATACAAGTAGGGCCGTAGGACGGCGTAGGGCTTGGCGACGGTGTTTTCACTTCTAAGAACGAAAATTCCCAGGCACTTTAGTTAATTTTTCCCACGAAATCCCACTTATCGAAATCCATCAAATTTCATTCAACACCTTCCACGTAGGCCTACTTCTCCTATAGATTTGTGGGAATTTTCCATGAAGTGGCAGAACTGCTTCGCGACCCCAAGAAAAACGCTTGGCGACCCCATTTGGGGTCGCGACCCCAGGGTTCGGAAAGAGACTTAGAGGTACTTGTAAGCCCGGACTTACGGCCTAGAAAACAGTGCGTTAATGTTCTAAATAAGGCAATCAGAGTATTAGGTTTTATATCTAGAAGTGTAAGTAATAAGAGTGCAGAGGTCTTATTGCAACTGTATCTTGCACTAGCCAGGTCGCACCTCGATTATGCTGTTCAGTTCTGGTGCCCTTATTATAGAATGGATATCAATTCACTGGAGTCGGTGCAGCTAAGAATGACGAAGCTTATTCCGGGACTTAGAAACCTTCCATATCAAGATAGATTAAAGAAGTATTTAAGTGGGTGAAAGGAATCAACAGAGGAGATATAGCTAAAGTTCTTATAATATCCGAGCAGGATAGGACTCGTAGCAACGGATTTAAGTTGGATATGTTTAGGTTTAGGAGGGAGATAGGAAGGAACTGGTTCACAAATAAGGTGATGGACGAGTGGAAAAAGCTTAGCAGCTTTGTAGTAAGTGCTGGAACGCTGGAAAGTTATAAAAGGAGGCTAGATAGATTCATGGATGATAGAGAGTAGTAACTCTCGACAGGAGTTGCCATGCACAGGCCAACCGGCCTATTGCAGACTCCTTATTTCTTATGTTCTTGTGTTCTTAATACGACATCCGCACTCTTATTACTTACACTTCTAGATATAAAATCTTATACTCTGTTTGCCATATTTCGAATATTAACACACTGCTTTCTAGGCCGAAGGTCCGCCTAGGTCTCTTTCACAAGTCAACTTCTCTAGTTCGATGTTGTTAAGGCTGTATACGTTGACAATATTTGTTCTTCCAATATTAAGTACGCTGCACTCGCTGGTGTTGAATTTAATTTGCCATTTTTCTTACCATTACTGCTGTTTATTTAAATCTTCCTGTAGTGCATTTGCATCCTGCACTGACTTAATCTGCCGCCCTATTTTGGTGTCATCCGCAAACTTGCTTATGTCACTGCTGATCCTAGTATCTAGATCGTTTATGTAGATTATGAACAAGAGTGGGCCCAGTACTAACCTCTGGGGAACCCCACTAGTTACACAGCCCCACTCAGATTGAAAACCATCTACGCTGACCCAATTTAAAACTTTCCCCTCGATACCATGAGCCTTAAATTTTCTCAGAAGCCTCTAATGCGGTTCTCTGCCAAATGCTTTGGCACAGCTCCCGTGTCTAATGATTTTGTAAATAAATTTACGAGGAATCCGCTAATCTGTTCCTTACACTCTTTCAAAACGCTAGGGAAAATTTCATCCGGCCCTGAGGATTTTGTCTTCTTTAGGGTGCTTAATCATTAGGTGAAATAAACTTACGTCAAAGTAATTTAGCAACACTCACCTCCCATATTCTCAAAGGGCACCAGCTCATCCAACAGATCCTGACGATTGGTAGGTGTAGTAATGAAACCCTTGAGACCTTTACACAGTTGGACAGCGTGGTGGTATCTGAGCGTTGGTAAAGGTACGGTCGAGCGGCCTCGGGATATTGATCTGCAAAGGTCTTTTAGTGCCACTTCCTGTAATGGAATCAGGGTCATCTTATTGTTGATATATGACGTTGTTGTTGTTGTGATGTATTACAGTTGTTGTTATAATATTTGATCGGTGTTGTTGGTGTTAGGTTATGTTTGGTTAGGTTAGGTTATATTAGGGTAAGATGGGTTAAGATAAGGTAGGTTAGGTTAGATTAGGCTGTATTTGCTTTGGGTAGGTTAGGTTAGATTAGGTTAGATTTGATTTGGGTAGGTTAGATTTGGTTTTCGTTAGGGTACAGTTATAGGTAGGGTAGGGTAGGGTAGGGTAGGGTAGGGTATACTTGGTTTGGATAGGGCAGAGCAGGGTATATTTGGTTTGGATAGGGTAGGGTACGGTAGGGTATTTTTGGTTTCGATAGGGTAGGGTAGGATATGGAAGCTTAGGTTAGGTTAGTGTACATCTTAATAAGCCACTTAGTATATTTCAATAAGCCACATAGTGTAACTTAATAAACCAAATACTGCAACTCAATAAGCCTCATAGTGTAACTTAATAAGCCACATAGTGTAACTCAATAAGCCACATATTGTAACTCAATAGCCACATAGTGAAACTTAATAAGCTACATAGTGTAGCTCAATAAGGCACATAGTATAATTCAATAAGCCAAACAGTGTAATTTAATAAACCACATAGTATATCTCATTAAGCCATATGGTAACTCAAAGAGCCACATAGTGTAACTTAATAAACCACATAGTGTAGCTCAATAAGCCACATACTGTAGTGTAACTTAATAAGCTACATAGTGCAACTCAATAAGCCACATATTGTAGCTCAATAAGCCACATAGTGTAACTTAATAAGCCATATAGTGTAGCTCAATAAGGCACATAGTGTAACTCAATCAGTCACATCGTGTAATTCAATAATGCACTTAATGTAACTCAATAAGCCACATAGTGTAGATCAATGAGACACATGGTGTAGCTCAACAAGACACATAGTGTACCTTAATAAGCCACATAGATTACCTTTCTTTCCAAGTTGTGCGTCACCCATCGACCAGACCAGCTGATGACGTCACCCTCGGGATTGACCTTGCAATTAGCCATGTCCAGAATTTCCTCTTGGGTCATGACACGGCTCCACAAGTTGACCTGACTTAACCTTCCGCTTAGTGAGTATGGCATCTGGGTTAAGAGAGTTCAGAGGTGTTAGAGATGTAGTTGCGGTGTGTGTGTGTGTGTGTGTGTGTGTGTGTGTGTGTGTGTGTGTGTGTGTGTGTGTGTGTGTGTGTGTGTGTGTGTGTGTGTGTGTGTGTGTGTGTGTGTGTATAAAGCAGGAGGACCTCTGCTTACCACCCGTCTCCACTCTCTCCAGGAGAATATATGGGAAAAGGAGGAAATCCCCCAAGCTCTTAAAGATGCCTCCATCATCAATATATATGGGAACAAAGGACACCGGTCAGACTGTGGCAACTACCGCGGGACCTCGCTGATGGCTGTAGCTACCAAGATTATCGCCTGAATCTTCCCAGAATCTCAATGTGGCCTTCGACCATCACGTGGCACCACTGACACGATCTTTGCTGCCCGTCAAATACAGGAAAAGTGCAGAGAACAGCTTCATGACCTGTACATGGTTTTCATCGACCTAACCAAGGATTTCGACTCGGTCAACAGGGAAGGCCTCTGGTGGACCCTCAGCCATTTTGATTGCCCACCAAAATTCATCGCCATTGTGAGGCAACTCCACGATAGCATGAACGGCAGTGTCCTGTACAATGGCACCCAGTATGAGTTCTTCCCCATCCAAACGGGGGTAGAACAAGCATGTGTACTGGCTTCAACTCTCTTTTATTTTTTTTTCTTGGCTGCCTTCCCTACTTGTGCCAGTGTCAATTTAGCCGGCGGGGTGAACAACCAATACTGGATGAATGGACTTTTCACCATAAGACGACTCTGGGCAGGAACAAAGGTGCCGGCAATTTCCATTACTGAACGTCAGTGTGCAGACAATCTCACCCTCGTCGTTCACACTGAACGTGATCTACAGAAGATCCTGAACACCTAGGCAGATGCGTATGCACACTTTGGCCTCGAGGTGAATGTACGTAAGACTCAGATTCTCTTTCAGCCAGCCCTGGTTCACCCACACCACGATTATTCACCCAGCTCAACGGTACTACCCTCTCTAATGTTACCCACTTTCAGTATCTCGGCTCCCACCTGTCCACCACTGTGGACATCGATGAAGAGATTCAACATCGGATCAGCTATGCATCTTAAGTTTTTGGCAGACTCCGTACCCGTGTCTTGAGCTATATGGAGCTGAAACTATCTACAAAGTTACATGTATATCGAGCAGTGGTCTTCCCCACCTTTCTACAGTATATGGCAACGAGACGTGGGTCACATACAGAAAACACCTCAAGGCACTTGAAAACTATCACCAACGTAGTCTAGGTTCTATTATTCCTCCGAATTCGCTGGGAAGACAAGAGAACAAATGCCAGTACTCTCGCTGACACCAACTGAAGGGGCATCGAGGTTACCATTATCCATGAACACCTATGCTGGACTGGTCATGTTTCCCATATGAACAACAGTAGACTGGCAAAACAACTACTTTACAGTCACGTAAGGAGGAGTAAACGTAACGCTGGCGGGCAACGGAAAATGTATAAGGGTAGTCTTAAGACAAACCTGAAAAAGTGCCAAATCGACCCCCTTACCTGGGATACGATCACTCCACACCGTAACGCTTGTAGGAGCACCACACGAGAAAGTGTCAATACTTTCGAGTTAGACCGACTGCATACTGAGGCAAACAAGCATCAGCACCGGAAAGACGCTGCCGCCGCCCCTCCCGCACCTAATGTAGCCCTTCATACATGCACCACCTGTGGACGATCCTGCTGGTCCCGTATAGGCCTCTCGAGTCACCTCAGAGCTCACCAGAGCTGAATGATCGTCATACTCGATTCCGAGTGACAGCAAAGTAGTAGTAGTAGTAAAGTGTGTGTGCCTGCGTGGGAATATGTGAGTACGTTTTTTTGTGCGTTTTTTTGTGCGTTTTTTTGTTTCCTTGTGGTTTTATATATATATATATATATATATATATATATATATATATATATATATATATATATATATATATATATATATATATATATATATATATATATTTCATTAGCCCAATAGCACGCGGACTTCTACATACAATCAACACCTCAACCCGCCAGGATTCGAACCCACGGCCCACTAGCCCATGACTGTGACCGGGGAACGCTAACCGCTGGACCACCAGGATACTAAAGCAGTCCTAGACTTTGTTATATTTCACACAAAGCCTGTTCAACGAGCTTATGGCGCCGTGAACCTCTAATGGGGACTACCCGTATCACGTAGGTGGTCAGAGTAACGTTTTACCAAACGGCTTCGAAACACGAGGATCCATATAGCTTCCAATAAAGCATCGTGATTTACAACAATACCCCTGTCTCAGACCTACACAGGATACTAAAAGCAATCCTAGACTTTTTTATATTTCACACAAAGCCTGCTCAACGAGCTTATGGCACCGTGAACCTCTAATGGGGACTACCCGTATCACGTAGGTGGTCAGAGTAACGTTTTTACCAAATCCGGCTTCGTTGAACAGGCTTTGTGTGAAATATAACAAAGTCTAGGACTGCTTTTAGTATCCTGGTGGCCCAGAGGTAGCGTTCCCCGGTCACAGTCATGGGCTCGTGGGCCGTGGGTTCGAATCCTGACGGGTTGAGGTGTTGAGTGTATGTAGAAGTTCGCGGGTTTTATTGTATTAATGAAATATATATATATATATATATATATATATATATATATATATATATATATATATATATATATATATATATATATATACACTAGCAGAATCGCTGCCCTCCGGGCGGCTCATCCAGTCGGCAACGGTAGAACGCCACCCTCCAGGAGGCTCCACATTGTCTCACTGTTCAGTCCCCACAACTTCTTCTTCCATCAATAGTTCATTAACGGTGTATGTAAGTTCCACCATGTGTTTCACTACAACGGTACAGCAAAGTATATTTTTTTAGCATTAAACTGTTATTATTTTATTGTGTAATCATCACTACATAAAACACCACCCATCATCACTACATATAACATCATCCATCATCACTACATATAACACCATCCATCATCACTACATATAACACCATTCATCATCACTACAGATCGGTAAAGTAGTTTCCGAGATTCTCGTGCGGACACACAGACAAACAGACAGACTTCTTTGTTTTATATAGATAGATTGTCTAATCATCACTACATATAACACCATCCATCATCACTACATATAACATCATTCATCATCACTACATACAACACCATCCATCATCACTACATATAACACCATCCATCATCACTACATATAACACCATCCATCATCACTACATATAACATCATCCATCATCACTACATATAACATCATTCATCATCACTACATATAACACCATCCATCATCACTACACATAACACCATCCATCATCACTACATATAACAACATCCATCATCACTACATATAACATCATCATCCATCATCACTACATATAACATAATCTAACATCACTACATATAACACCATCCATCATCACTACAAATCGGTAGAGTAGTTCCGAGATTCTCGTGCGGACACACACACACAAACACACAGACATTCTTCTTTGTTATACATATATATATATATATATATATATATATATATATATATATATATATATATATATATATATATATATATATATATATATATATATATGTGTGTGTGTGTGGGGGCGGGGGGGGGAGAGAGCAGGACACGTACACACACACACACGTGCGCTTAGTTAAATTTGAACATATATATCCTAATTTTCATGAAGGCTAAGATGTCTTCTATAAACGAGTTAATCTAGAGAGACTTTAAAACACCGAGACAATTTAAATCACGATATCAAGAGAGATATTACAGTATATTACTGTCTCTTAGCCTAAACGAGACATTAAACCACTGTCTCTCAACCCAATCGGGTCATTAAACTAGTCTCTCACTTCAAACGAGACCTTAAACCAGTCTCACAACCCAAACGATACATTAAACGAGACATTAAACCACTATCTATCAGCTCAAACAATACATTAAACTACTGTCTTTCAGCTCAAACGAAACATTAAACCACTGTCTCTTAACCCAAACGAGACTTTAAACTAATGTCTCTCAGACCAAACGAGACTATAAACTAGTGTTTCTCAGCTCAAACGAAACATTGAACTGTCCGGCCACGCAAACAAGACATTAAACTAGCGTCTCTCAGCTCGAACGAGACATTAAACTTGTAATGATTGTTTATCAGACCATAGCTTACAGCCCAGAGAAGAACAATACATATAGCAGAACCAGATGCGCAGGTGTACACCCACGTAAGTTAACCCATCCTTCGTAATTAAAGTGAGATTAAGGTCTGACCCAGCAATGAAACAGAGTCTCACCGCCGCATGATTAGTCAATCCGGCGTCATGACCTTGTTCATTCAAGAAACTACACTCCAGCCCGCACCTGTTCAAACACAGCTGTCTTGACACACCCAGATTAGTGTTAATTAATGATGACATCTACCGGCCTGACACCAGCAATATAAGGGACAGACATCTCCTTCTGTGGGACAGAGAGGGAGAGACAGAACTCGGAGGAAGACGGAGCACGCTCGTCACTAGTCGAGGTCGGGAGGGAGACTTCCTTCCCCAGCACAGAGTCCCCAGCTAGCAGAGTCTCCCACAGGAGACAGAGTCTAGCACCCGCCGGGACCACTCTCTTTAACAGCACCTGCAGACATTCCCCAGCCGCTGGGCCTCCGTCAAATCACACGTGAGTCATTGTCAGAGCGATCCATAGGGTGAGTTACTTATGGTGGGAAGTGTATCCATTTCATGTTTGTGTCCGAGATAAACAACTAATCGGACACGCTACAAACGTTCCTCACTCTACAATCATACAACTAATAATTCTTACTTTACTTGTACTTCTTACTTTACCCTCATTACAAACTACTGTCTCTCGGCCCAAACGAGACATTAAACTACTGCCTCTTAGCCCAAACGAGACATTAAACTACTGTCTCTCAGCCCAAACGATACATTAAACTA